GTGAAGGATAACAAAAAGTCCTTCTACAGATACATCAAGAGCAAAAGGAGGGGCAAGGAAAACCTCCATTCTTTACTGGACACAGGTGGGAATATAGTTATCAAAGATGAGGAAAAGACTGAGGTATTTAACACCTTCTTTACCTCAGTTTACCTCAGTTTTCAACAGTAAGAAAGGTTGTCCTGAGGACAGCTGGCTTCTGGAGCTTGTAGGAAGAGATAAGAACCTGAATAGCCCCCCTGTAATCCAGGAGGAAACAGTTAGCGACCTTCTGAGCCACTTGGATCCCCACAAGTCTGTGGGACCAGATGGGATCCATCCTAGGGTGATGAGGGAGCTGGCGGAAGAGCTCGCCAAGCCGCTCTCCATCATTTATCAGCAGTCTTGGCTCACTGGGGAGGTCCCAGATGATTGAAAGTTGGCAAATGTCACACCCATCCACAAAAAGGGGTGGAAGGAGGACCCGGGAAACTACAGGCCCATCAGCCTGACCTCAGTGCCTGGCAAGGTTATGGAGCAGATCATCCTCAGTGCAATCACACAGCACCTACAGGATGAACAAGGGATCAGACCCAACCAGCACAGGTTTAGGAAGGGCAGGTCCTGTCTGACCAACCTGATCTCCTTTTATGATCAGGTGACCCGCCTGGTGGATGAGGGGAAGGCTGTGCATGTGTCTACCTGGACTTCAGCAAAGCCTTTGACACCGTCTCCCACAGCATACTCCTGAAAAAGCTGGCAGCCCACGGCTTGGACAGGGGCACTCTGTGCTGGGTTAGGAACTGGCTGGAGGGCCGGGCCCAGAGAGTGGTGGTGAACGGGGCTGCATCCAGTTGGCAGCCGGTCACTAGTGGTGTCCCCCAGGGATCAGCATTGGGCCCAGTTCTGTTTAATATCTTTATCGATGATTTAGATGAGGGGATTGAGTCCACCATCAGCAAATTTGCAGATGACACTAAGTTGAGGGGGAGTGTCAATCAGCTGGAAGGCAGGAGGGCTCTGCAGAGGGACCTGGACAGACTGGAGAGTTGGGCTGATTCCAACAGGATGAGGTTCAACAAGGCCAATGCCGGGTCCTCCACTTTGGCCACAACAACCCCCTGCAGTATTACAGGCTGGAGACAGAGTGGCTGGAGAGCAGCCAGGCAGAGAGGGACCTGGGAGTTTGGATTGACAGGAAGCTGAACATGAGCCAGCAGTGTGCCCAGGTGGCCTTGGAAGGCCAATGGCATCCTGGCCTGGATCAGGAACAGTGTGGCCAACAGGTCCAGGGAAGTGATTCTTCCCCTGTACTCAGCGCTGGTGAGGCCACACCTGGAGTGCTGTGTCCAGTTCTGGGCCCCTCAGTTCAGGAAGGACATTGAGGTGCTGGAGCAGGTCCAGAGAAGAGCAACGAGGCTGGTGAAGGGACTTGAGCCCAATCCTATGAGGAGAGGCTGAGGGAGCTGGGGTTGTTCAGCCTGGAGAAGAGGAGGCTCAGGGGAGACCTCATCACTCTCTACAACTCCCTGAAAGGAGGCTGTAGCCAGGTGGGCATCGGTCTCTTTTCCCAGGCAGCTATCAGTAAGACAAGAGGGCATGGTCTTCAGCTGTGCCAGGGGAGGTTTAGGTTAGATATTAGGAAGAAATTCTTTACAGAAAGGGTAATCAGGCATTGGAATGGGCTGCCCAGGGAAGTGGTAGATTCTCCATCCCTGGAGGTTTTTCAGATGAGATTAGAGTATGGCACTTAGCGCCATGGTCTAGCAACCACGGTGGGAGTGGATCAAGGGTTGGACTTGATGATCTCAGACATCCCATCCAACCCAGTTGATTCTATGATTCTATTTGTATTTGATAAGCACAGGTGTGCAGACGCCAAGGTGGAATTTCCCAGTCAGTGCCTAGGAAATGAAAAGATAAGGAAGGATTGACTTTTCTTGATAAGATTTGCTTTGAGTATTAAAAGAGTGCCCATCCTGTCCTTCTCTCCAAAGAGATTATCAAATGTGTCATTCAGCCTTCAGCAGTCAGCTGTATCACGTTGAGTTCCCACTCCCATGTAAACATGCAATCCACTTGGACATTGTAGCTGTGCTAAGGATTGCTTCTGATTCAAGACCAATCTGACATTTGCATCAGGTGGGCAAGAAGAGGCGGAAGAACAGGAAACAAGGAGAAATACAAGCAGGAGTTACTAATCCTCTTTGTATTACAGATGTTCCATAAAGAACATTTCACTTTGTCTAAGAATTTATTTTACACTTTGTTCTGGTTTGGTTTATGTAGCAATCTGTAAGCTTTCACATTTCTTCAATTCTGTTTTCAAAAAAATTCATCCGTGGTTAGTTGGCAAAACTGGGCCTCATTTTTCAGTTCAATAAAATTTTGCGTTTGCTCTTGTTATTTGCTGCTTAACAGTGTAAACTGGTTTGAGCTATAGGAATTCATGAAAGTGTTCTGAGAAATATAGTTTTAGGCATAAGTAAAATCCACTTGGGTAGAAGGTTTCTATATGGGACTGTTGGGGTACTGGATGTAATGAAAGCTTGTTGAAATCAGTGGGAACTTGAAGTATTTTGCAGTTGGGAGATTTAGGTTCATAGAAGGTAAATCAAAATAAATATTTGCATCAGTTTTTAGGCTTTACAGAGACAAGAGTAATTTTATTAGACCACCCCATATAACTGGAAAAGAATGGACACATTGGAGCCTGTGAATCCTTTTTTTGGAATTTTATGTAATATTTTTGCAATTCCTTGCATGGAACTGACAAGAACCATAAAAACAATGCTTTGGTATCTGTAAAATTTCAACATCAATCTGAAGGTTTTACAATACTCTTTAAGTAAATGCTATTTTTTTAAAAATATAACAAAGATTGATTGTTCAAAAGATGGTGAGTAAAGAATTATAGAAAAATACCCCAAAACTGATAGCGTATAAGTACCATTTTTTTTAACCCACATGATATTTTTTGTGTACAAGTAGGCAGAGCTATGGTTTTACTATATGCTGGTTTGCACATAAAGAATAAAAAGATTCACTTCATTTAACAATCCATAAAAAACTTAGTAAAATTTTTATGACCATAATATTGAGACGACCTTTGTGCCTCATAATCTAATCACAACCTAGTGTCCTTGGAAGTGCATTTATCAGAAGATTCAGGGCTTAGATCTTTGCTTCTCAGAGATGTTGTGATTTGTGAAACTTAATGGTATCAGTGTTATCAGTTCTAGTTCCCATTGTGACTAGAATGGCAACCACTTAAATCCTGAGGGCAGGTCACACCAAATCCATGCAAATTAAAGCTAAACATCTGTAAACAAATGATGCCCAAGTGAAGCTTTTCTTTAAAATGTCAGAGCCCAGCATCTATTTTTAAGAGATTAGAGAGAATAATGAAGAAATACATTTGCATCCTCTTCCAATCTGGCCTGGTCTTCATGTCTCTATGCAGATGTTTCCAGCAATTTTATAAGTACGGTGTTTGAATTGGCAGTATTCTACTGAAACTATTTTAAGTTCCATAAAACTGTTTCCTTTCATTTTTTTAGGCCTCAATTTGAGTGTGAGATACCAGACAGCTCAAAGACTAGCCAGAGTAAAAAAAAAAAAATATTTTTTCTCTCAATCAGTATTTTGATACTATATGTATATTTTAAAAGTAAGCTAACCAAATACCAGAAAGTAGTGCTGAATATATGTTTGGGCATAGCCTCCTACTGATAGGAGAAACAGAAACATTGTTCACAGCACTCCAGAATGCCCAAATAAGGAACAATAAAATCTTAGAGAAATCCTAGAGAATTAGATGAGGGATGTACTCAAACAAATAGGATGTAAACTAAGCTCTGCATACCCAAATAAGATAAAGAACAAATGTTACAGTTTTTGGTGGTGAAACACAATGATGCTGTGCCTGTTCAAGAACTGAGGTCAAGACAATGAAGAAGATTCAGCAGGACCACACAAGGACTTCCAGTGTGAGGGGGTGAATATGCAAAGCAAACTAATGACACTGTATTAAGTGAGAATATCTAATGAATATGTAATATGCAATAAAAAGCTCTGTTTGTCTGTCATTTGGCACATTTGATTAGAAGAGCTGTCCTCTGAACATCCAGCATGCTGCTTTTTAATACCTACAAATAGGAGTTTAAAAGTTTGTTTGTCGCTTTTCAGTATCACTACTACATTTGACAGGCTCCAGAGCCAGCTGAACGTTCTTAAGCAAAGCAAAAAGTGACTGAATAAATGATTTGAAAAAACTGGTCTAATCTATCATGTAATATCTCTGGCAGGTGCTGCCTGTTGTCTCTTTTGCAATTCTGTTTTATTTCTTTCTCTTTTCCTCTCTAACTTCCCTGCAATGGGTCCTTCCATACCTGTTGGAATTGTCTTAAGTTTCATGCACTCCCCTTCTTAGCTAGTGGACATTTGATGTATTTACGCTATTCAACAGAACAATGTCCACATCCTCCTGCATACTTAGGCCAGACTCCATATATGAAACCGGTTAGTATCTGTTCTACATTTGCAGCACTCGAATCCAGTTGGAAGGGGACGGTCATGATGGCAAGCCGCGCTCCAAGTACAGGCAAATCCATCAGTATTCTTTAAGTGCGCTCCTCCAACTCTGTACGCTCTGTCTGCCTCTTCGTCACAGCAGTGCTCCTGCTTTATCTCTAAGTCCTTATGGCTGTAGTGGCTTATCTTTATGGCAGGTCTCTAAATTCCCCAACGTCCTCTACAGGCTCCCCCACAAAACCCCCTCCGCTGCTGGGGGGAGCGCAGTGGGGCCGCCACCCTGGAAAGGGACAGGCTGACACAGAAAATTCTTTTCTAAGGCGCGGTTCTGAATCCGAGGGCACACTCAGAGCTTGTGAAAACTTTAAAAAAAAAAAAATGCCAATACGTTCCTCGTAAAAAGCAGCGCTGAGACGGCCGCGGGACGCCGGGCGGCCGGCGCGCAGGGCGGAGGGGCGCGGAGGGGCGCGGAAGGGCGCGGCGTGCCACCCTGCTCTCCTGCTCCCGACCCTGCGGCTCCGCGTCCCGTCTCGTCCCGTCCCATCCCCGCCGGGCCCGACCTCGACCCCGCCCGGCCGCCGGCCCGCCCCTACTTCGCGGCGCTCGCTGCCGCACTCGAGGCGCGGAAGATGGAGGACTACGGGCGATTCTTGGCGCTGCTGGCCTCCGCGCTGCTGGTCGGCTTCGTGTCCGTCATCCTCTCCTTCGTCTGGGTCTTCCACTACCGCGAGGGGCTGAGCTGGGACGGCAGCGCGGGGGAGTTCAACTGGCACCCCCTCCTCGTCGTCACGGGCTTCGTCTTCATCCAGGGCATTGGTGCGTCGGGGGCCCGGGTCCGGGGCTGACGCGGAGAGGGCCGGGGCGGGCGGGCGCGGGGCTGCGGAGGAGCCGGCGCTGCCCGGGAGCGGGGCGGGGGGCGGCGGGCGGAGCCCCGGGCGGCCCGCGGGCGATAGCGGGTGACAGCGGGTGACAGCGGGAGCGCTGCGGCTGGTCCTTGGTGTACGGATGGAGCGGGTCAGGGAAGCTAGCACTCCCCGAGAAGGGACAAAGAGTCCCTTGTAATAAGCCAAAACTGCTACGTATCGGTTTGGGCTTTCTTTTTCCTGTAGGACCTTGTTTACCCTGGCGTAGGATTGCTGTGTACTTTGAGTAATATTTGAGAGGTGTGTTTTTCTAGGCAGCCTGAATTTATGCAGGTTGAGAATCTAAATGCCAGAAATGCTGCCCTAGGAAAGTTTCTCTTTTGGCTCTCTCCCATGTCCCGAGAGGAGAAAGGAAAGTTCAATACCACAGAAGCTTGATCCAGGAATGGGGTTTGTGCCAGAGAAAATGTAGCAGCATTAGCACCATTAAAATGCAGTTCTTCAGCCCAGACTTAGCATAAGTTATTCTGTAAAATATATATTTTAAATTAATTCTTAATTCTGTTGCCTAAATAACATGCAATTATTATGATGCAGTGTTGCTTTTTTGTTTTGTTTTGTTGTTTATAGGTATATGAACATTTGACTTCATAGAGTTCAGCCTTGTACTGACATTTAACTGTTTCCCATTACACTTAGAAAATGAACAGTATCATTTTTTCCATCCCACACAATTAGTGTGTTGGGTCTTCTGTGCAAGGGATGTTCCTTGAGGCCAGCAGGAATACGGGAGTTGGAACTGTGTTTTGCTGTTGGCATAGTTGGGTAATTCCAATAAATCAACTAAATTAGACACACTGTAGTTGCTAAACTGTCAATTTAGGAAAGAAATATACAATGCTTTCTGTAAAGTTTGAAATGTAGATAATGAGAGAGCGCCACAGAAGTGCTTATCTACCCTGTGAATATATTCTAACCAGAGCTAAATATTGCAAAAAATAACATCACTACACTGTACCTTTAAAATCCTGAAATTTGGGAGTGTAAATTTATGCTAATGGCATTAAAAAGTAATGGGAAAATCTGACAGAGAGAACAGCATCCAACAGTAATGTTTTTATAAACTCAGTGACACAAATCTTGCTAGTTTCAGTATGCGGAGAACTAAGTGAAACATTAGTAACCGCCCCACGAAGGGCAAATAAATACTGCATAGAACAGTGGAAATGCTCTCACAATATTACCACTGAGTTTTGGGGGGAGAGGATAGGGACGATTTCATTGTTTTTAACGAAGAAAGAACCTCCAGCGACTTACAGTATAATTGTAAGCAGGAGTATTTCTTCTTTGTAATAGAATATAGACTCAAATTTTATCTAGACAAACTTGGAATTTAATTTTTAATAACCTTATTTACATTTGCTTCATTACTGAATGATATATTGCATTTGTCCAGCCAGAAGACTTGTCCAGCATTCATTTCAGTGGAACATGTTGTTTGCATCACGTGTGCTTGCTTGCTATCCAGCAGGAGCCCAGCCAGTCAAGAGGTTGGAAGATGCCGAAGGCTGTCTAGTTCCGGAGATGAAGGGAATGTTGTAATTTGAACATACGCTGTAAATTTTTTTTTTTTCACTGGGAGTGGTGGTATTCTCAGTTTTGTGGCTTCAAGTCACAAAGTACTATTGAGCAATAAACAGTACTTCGAGCTTGTTCTACATAATATTGCTCAATAGGAAGTGTAATTTCAGGCTATAAATAAGCAATGAAATTCACCTGTTGACTTCACTAACATCTATACTACTTACTGTGCTTAAGCTACTGGTTTTTTTATATAAGCATAGCATTTTTTAAGAAAATAGGGAGAGATTTTCTGCAGCTTTTTCCTACGTATTTTCTATTTTTTTTTTTCCTCTGAAACTCAGTTTTTTCCCTGTGTCACAGAGAAAGGGTGTTGTCTCAAACTTTCTGTAGGTAAGGATATATGTAAAGTAAATGGAGGTTTACCATAGTTAAAACTCCCCACCTATAGAAGGAATTCACTTAGATCATTATTTGCGGAGGAAATCCTGTTGTATAACATGAAAAGCAAGTTAGAGACTGAAGGAGTATTGTAATAAATCAGATAAAATAACAACAGATAAGATACCACTGTGATTCTGATTCAAATTTGATTGACAAAAGTCTGCCACTGAATTCAAAGTAATTTGGATGAGACTGGGAAATCAGATACCTCTTTGGAAACACACAAGAAACACAAGTCTTTAAGTAGTTAAAAGTAGGAGTATCTAAAAAAATCTTGCTTAAATTTTTGTGGAGGATTTTAAATAATAACAAAACCAATTGTTTCTTGAGTTTATTAGTCTATACAAAGGATAGAAATATTGTATTGTCTGTAGGAGGTAGAAGAGATGACTATAATATAATGTGCACACTGGGAAGTAGATGTGCCCTAATAAAAGTGTTGTATATATCTTGTCAATCAAGTGGAAAAGCTGTAGGCATGGTAATATTAAGATTTAATATATTTGTGGACCAGCACCTATGGGTAAATGATACCTGACAAAACACTGTCAGTGCACAGTAATTGTCCACAAGATTTCCTAGACTTAAAGTGAGAAAGGCAATAAAACTGTGTGCATATTAGTACAGCAACATTTTTGAAAATAAGAAAAAAACATGATGAAAAGATGAGTTTTAAGAAGAGCTTGAAGGAATAGTAGTGTGATAGAATGAGTTAAATAAGTTAATAAATTTACATGTGCAATTGTTGAACAGTGACTGCAGACTGAGGACATGATCCAAAGGAATATTTGCATGATAGTTCATGTTTGGCCTGCGAATGATTAGTCCTCTTGTAAAAATAATAAAGAAACCCATCAAGATATAATGTGGTGTAAATGGTTTTTGAGAATTTCCCATTACTCACCTTATAAAAGAAGATCTTTTTTTTCTACAAAGATGTGACAATCTCTGTTGCAGACTGAGGAGCAGCGTGGTGGCTTTTGGGGTGTGGAAGATTGAATAAAGAGTGAGTCAGAACAAGGAAGGTGGGGGAGTCTGTCTCCCATCCTCAGATCAGTCTTCTACTGCTTATGAGTCACATGTATGCTCTATACAATAAAGTTGTAGGTTGACACTGTAAATCTTGGAAGGTGCTTGGAAAATTAATATTCCTCATCATATATGATTTATAAATATCGTATAACTTGTATTTTAAATGGTCTTAATACATGAGGGTGTAGCTTAACATCATCAGTAGCTTAACATCAGCAGTATATTACTAAAGGAATACAGCAAGAATGTTACTTAAGAGTGCTTACATAGAAAAGAGAAGGAAAAATCCAAGTCTACCACATCACCATGTGGTTTTATAGAGTCAAACTTCATCTGTGTAGATGAAATTACCTACGTGGGTGAGACAGTCCAACAGCTCACTATGGCTGAAATATTTCTACTTTTTTCCTCTACTTCTCCCTTTCAGCTTTCTCCTTGACTAAGACTTTATCTTCATACACACTTGTTTGTGCCAGCTCTGGCCACTGTCAGACAGCTGGCCCTTGCCAGATGCATAAACTGAATTAACTCAATTAGCAGAAAATTCACACACACACACACACCCCACACACACCTCAAGTACATTTTTTGCTCAAATAAAAAGCTGAATTGCCTGCATGAAGGGTCTCTGAACTGCCGCAGATGGGAGAAGGGAGATGGTGGACAATGTGCAAGAGCAAGGAGAAGGAGTGTAAATCTATTTTAAAGCAAGCATAGTCTTTCATCTTGAAATCACAGCTAAGGATAATGCTTGCTCTGAGCTATCTGACACACATGATTACTTTTGCTTCAAACATAACAAAACATTTGTTCAAAGGAAAGACAGTTAAATGCTGGAGCTCCTAACATCCAATAGGCTGCAGAATTCTCAAGAACTGGAAGGGCAAAAGACTGGTGACCTGTGAGGGTCTCATCAGAGGCAACTTGTGAAGAGGCCGCTCTCTTGATGAGCTTAGTTTAAGTCCCTTTGAAATCATAAATCAGAACTTTCCAAAGGTAAGCAGCAGGATCAGCCAAGAAGGCAGAAGAGGAAACAGGCAGAGTGAAGAGGACCATTCCTTTCTGACAGCTTTGAGGTGCTGTGCAATGCAGCCCCAGTGCACTCACAGAGCCATTCTGTGTGCCTGCTAAGGTGGAAGGCATCTCACGAGTAATCTGTGACACTTCCTACAGCACGTGAAGCACATGCCAGAAATAACTAGAAAGCCAACTCTAGAATTCTGCCGTGTATGTTTGTCAAAGAAAGGTGTCCCATGCCACATAAAGATGTTGCAAGATCACTCTGGCCTGTGTGATGTGTTTTAAAATCATAGCTCAAAACAGGAGTGAGATCTGAGTGAAAAAGTTCAGTTTAGGATGCCTAGACTATCAAATGACTTAACAGTACTAGAGATGCTGTACCTAGAGAAAGTTATTCACAGGGCTGCTTTACTATGTACCCACTAAAAATTCTGTAACTGTGCATGTGCTTTTAACCAAGGCTTTAATTTTGAGATTAATTTATACATCACATCTGAGTAAGTTTTAAGAGCTTGTACTACTGAAAGACAAATCTTCCTTTTCTCCCCTCTGTTCCCCAGATTGTCTTGTTTCCTCTGGCAGGTCAAAAAAGCACTAGTTATGAGAAAGGCAAGGAAAAGCACACAGAAGAGGTGATGGGGAAATAGACTGTGTCTTTTCACACTGATAAACAGTCGGATCTGCTGAAGTTGCAATGTTTAGCTTCATACATAGCCCTCACAGAAAGAGGATTAAAACAAATTGTACTACCTTGCATATGTCCTGGGCTGTGGCATGTAACATACTAATGCATGGTATTGTTAACAAGTGTCCAGACCATTAGTCTGTATTCCATGGTTTTCTATCATATCGTTTATGGGAAACAGCCCAGAAAATTCAAGGCTCGGATGGAGATCTGAGACTATGGGGACAAGGGACTGGTGAATTTGATAGTGATTTTTGAAGTTAAATCAACTAGATGAAACCAGAAAAATATTATAGAAACATTTTAGCCTGGACTTGACTGTCTGAGATCAAAGACTGAAAACCTATGCTCATGAAGTTTTCTTTAAGACATACAGAGTCCATTACTCTGCTGCACTTTGAATAAATGATTGACAATACTGTGGGCCATATGGTAAGGAGGATTTACCGGGAATATCCTCATGGGATGTTGAGGCTTGTTTGGGGCCCTTTGACATACCTGCTTTACAAAATTAGAAATCATTATCATCAGCACTAAGTTGATTTAATAATAGTCTAATGCAGGATATTATTGGCAGCTGGCTGAACTGAGCCAGCAATGTGCCCAGGTGGCTGAGGCAGCCAACAGAATCCTGGCCCATATCAGAAATACTGCGACCAGCAGGACCAGGGCAGTGATTTTCTCCCTGTGCTGGGCACTGGTGAGGCTGCACCTCGAGTGCTGTGTTCAGTTCTGGGCCCCTCAATTCAAGACAGACATTGAGGTGCTGGAACTAGTCCAGAGACCGGCAGCAGAGCTTGGTAAAGGGTCTGGAGCACAAGTCTGATGAGCAGCTGAGGGAGCTGGGGTCATTTAGCCTGGAGAAAAGGAGGCTCAGGGAGGACCTTATCATTCTCTGCAACTACCTGAAAGGAGATTGTAGCTAGTGGGGATTGATCTTATCTCCCAAGAAACAAGAGAAAATGGCCAGTTGCACCAGTGCCATTCACTTGGAAGAATTTCTTCACTGGAGGGTGGTCAGGTATTGGAACAGAGTGCCCAGCGAAGTGGTGGAATCACTGTCCCTGGAAGTGTTCTGGTGTTGGATCACTGGATCCAACACTGGATTGTTGTTTTGTTCAGACTGAACTAAACACTGTCTGCTACAGTTATTAATGCAAGTATAGGCAAAACCCCCCTACATTCATCTACCACTGGTGGAAGAGTTGTATTTGCCAAATGCTTTTGTCTCTTACAAGTAAGGTTATGATTCCCTTATGCCAAAGAGCACTTTTCCATTTAAAGCAGATACGTTAATATCAATGCAATAGACAGTCATATAAATATTTCCATAATTAGAAAATAGCATTATCAAAAGTTGGCAAAGAGAATAAATATTAGAAAATAATCTGACACACATTCTCAACAAGTGAGATATTCTAAATAGAAGAATCAGGCTCTATTCCTCCAATCTGACTAGTAGGAGAACAATCAAAATCCTATGCAGAATCCCTGTTAAATCAATTTAATGACTAAGGAAAAGATGACACCAAGTTGTTTACTGGTTTGTTTTTTGTTTTGTTTTGTTTTTGAAACATGCTTAAATTTGGGTTTTTTTTAATTAGGAAAAAGTCTCCCTAAAAGCTATATTTAAACCTTAGTTGTATATTCGGAATATGCTATGCTATGTGTATGAGAAAAAGCCTTTTAATAGACTTTTATAGAGGACTAAAGGTTGGATTTTTCTGTATTTAACAATGGAGCTATGTGAATTATGCATAATTTTTAACATCTGAGAGAAGTTATAAGGCATAACATCTTGTTTCTGTTCTTTCTTCAGCTATTATTGTGTACAGATTGCCCTGGACCTGGAAGTGCAGCAAACTTCTAATGAAGTTCATCCACGCTGGATTAAATACCATAGCTATGATTCTTGCAATCGTTGCTATGGTAGCCGCGTTCGAATACCACAATGCCCAGAACATTCCTAACATGTACAGTCTGCACAGCTGGATCGGGCTGACTGCTCTTATATTTTATTCTCTCCAGGTCAGAATCTAACTGTATTTATAAATGGGTTGTAACTTTGAGGAATGTTTCGAGTAATTTAGGCACAAAAGGCCCTCACTAGCACACCGTAACTACTGGGATAGCCATTTTACACTGTGATTTGGCAAATTAGCATGTAAATGTGCAAATACTGGATCCTTGATTTTGAAGAAAAATGCATCTTAAAGCATATTTTGTTTATTTGCTGGGATAGTGACCATTTATTTACTGTACAGTTACACAGTAGTGTGTTTCTAAGCTCTGTTAACTCCTGAAGTTAAAGTTATTTGGTTTGTTGGAAGCACATTTAAATACAGTGAGAGCTTTTATTAAGGATGTCTCAAATGAAGTAACTGCTTTTCTTTTTTTTTCAGCTGTCCTAATTTTAAGTAGTCACTTCCTGGCCTTGTTCTGTTTATCAGCAGAACAAGTGCTGCAGGAAGCAGTAGAAATCTAAAGGATCTGACATCTGAGTGAGCTACTACTGGCTAAGCAGTTTTCTTGAATCAGCAAAACTTTGACAGATGTTTGTGGGCATGCTTTTAACTGCTCCCATTGGCAGAGAATTACTGTTATCATAATGTAAAATGAGCTAACTTAACATGTTTTGCATTTGGCATAGAAGAGGACCAGGCATGCCCTGACATTTACAGTACACATACAGATGTGATGTTTCTGCTATACATTCTGAACTCCCTATATTGTGTTATTACACTATGGAAATTTATTTTGTTCTTTCAAATATTTTTTTTTTTTGCCAAAACACTAAAAAGAAAAAAGACTTCATTATCTGTGATCAAGCACAGAAAATCCTCAGCTGAGGGATTTGGGTTCTGGACTTTTATCCTTTACTGCTCAGGCTAGGAGCTACAGGAAATAGTGTTGAAATAGTGTTTTTAACACTTAGAAAAATAGAAAGCATATTGCAGCATTGTTGAGTATATTCTCTATAGGTGAAAAAGTTAATGGAATGAGTATAAATAAGAAGGAACAATGTTATAAAAATCTTTGTCCTAATAATGCAGGTGTTTCAGGGAAATGGCATGTCAGTCTTATGCTCACATACTCTGCCTCCAGGAACAATAGTGTAAATGTATTTACGTCAAATGTATGTTAATACAGTATAGCACACAGACATAAATTTAAGAATAGGGCAGAAATTTAAAATGTAGACTGTATCTTGGAAAACAATGTCTTTGGAACGAAGTACTCAAAAATTACATGAACTCAAAATGACTTCTCACAAAGCTGTGACAATAAGAAAAATATGGCATTAGCAAAACTGATATGAAATACTATGGAATAATTTTTTTTTAAATATAAAAAGAATGACCAGGAAAAAAAAGTAATTTGAGAGTTGGAAAAACTTATCTTCCAGTGCAAGATTTAAAAAGCTCTAACTGTTTAGCAAATCTAAGGAAGAATAAGAGATGACTTGATTACAGTGTATTAAAAAGCTTCCCAGGGAGAAAGTATCGAGCTCCTTAAACTGTCATGGAAAGGCAAAACAAGGACTAAGACAGGAAGTTAAAGCAAGATGAAATACAAATTCATGCACTATTTCTAATTTAGTAGCAGGGCTGAGTAATGGTAGAACAAACTAAAGAAGGGATGCAACTTCAGTATGTCTGGGCAAGCCTGTGACTGCAACCATGTGACACGATGGATTATTTTCCATCATGAAAATAGTGCTAATGGGAGAACTAATCTCCTCTCAATAACTTGACACCACCCATACATATCTTCTCTGTAAATGCCATCTGATTGATACATTGAGAGACCATTCCCCTTCTGAAGATATGTACTTTAATTTAACTAAAACTCTAAAAAAGTAAAATTATTTAATCCACTCAAGTCAGAAGGTTAGACTGCCTTCTGAACTTCATTTAGGTGTAAATCTGTAACAGGAGCAGAGAACAGGGCTTGAAGAGACTGTAAAAAAGTAGCTACTCACACCTTTAAGATATTACTGTATTAGTGACACTGAAAACTTGTGTTTTCAGTACTTAGTTTGGTTGCAGTTTTAGCATTACCTATAAGTTTGGACACCGGTATTAAGTAGGATTATTTTTAAAATATTTGATGTCTGCTTCCTAAGTGCTAATCCAGAATTTTGCTCTGGTTTTGAAGGGAAACACATTCAAAAATAGAAATGCCAATTACTTTCAAATTTTTACCTGAAGACATCTGAGAATGGAATTTTTACAATTATTTTTATTCTGCTTGAGAAGTGCAGCTTGTTTTCTATATAACTTTAACTATAAATCTGTTTTGTGTTTAGCTCTTCTTCGGTTTTGCTGTCTTTCTGCTCCCTTTTGCTCCAGTTTATCTCCGAGCACTTCTCATGCCAATACACGTTTATTCGGGTCTTACCATCTTTGCAACAGTGATTGCAGCCGCTCTCATGGGAATCACAGAAAAGCTTTTATTTTCATTGTAAGTATTTTTCCACTTGTTTTTGAAGTTATTAATTGGAAACTATACTTCTGTTTGCGCAGAATAATAAGCATCTAGTATTGGGACATTGTTTTGTTTTAAAAAGACTACCCAGCAGGAGACTACTGGTTTTAGACCGGGATTGTCTTTAAAACAATCTTTTCTGACTTTTCCTTTCTCTTTCCTCTTTCAAAGGAGAGATCCTGCATACAGTTCATCCCCTCCAGAAGCAACTTTTGTCAACTGTCTTGGTCTTTTGCTTGTCGTATTTGGTTTACTTATTTTGTGGATGGCAAGCAGGCCCCATTGGAAGCGCCCCCTAGAAGAGAGCACTAAAGTCCTGCGGCCCATTGGAGGGACTGCTGAAGGCACAGAGGTGGAATCCACAATGACAAGTAGTAGTAATGCAGATAAATCTGATATGAGGATCAATACTGAAGCAGCCAGAAAGCAAAACCTCAAGTTTGATGAATCAGGCCAAAGATCAACTATGTAAAGAAAATACACAGAATAAAAGTACTATTATACTGCCAAAATCTGCCTGTCCCCCTGGTGGGGTTCTTTCTAATAGTTATATTGATATAAAAATAGGTTGGGGGGTTATTTTCATTATGGCTTGCTCAAAGAGACTCAAGTTTTCTGCATATGAGTTTAAATTCCAGTAAGTCCCAAACATATTATACTGGTTCCTGCTCAGTTCTCATTTAAAAAACGAGAGCATGAATGACATGAATGACATGAATGACATCAGATAATTAAAAAATGTTTTCCATATAATTTCCTAATTTTATGCTTATATCCCTTATAGCCATGAAAAATTAAAAAGATTGAGACTAAATTTTGCTCTGATTTTGCAGGTTATGACTCAGTCATGCAGTATACTAGACAGAAGAATTTAGTTGTTCACACATAAACTTTCTGGTAATGTTCAATTTTTTAGAGCTGTGATTTCTCTAGCTGATTAACCCCCTCACCAGCTGCTGAGATCTATGGGATTTGAGGTCATTCAGCACTTTGAGGAGTTGCTCCATAAAAATTACTCCAATTTTAGTCTAAAATTTTTAATTCAAAACAAGAAATTAAAAGTTTGCTTCATAACTTCATAAAATGTTATGTTTCCTTTACAAACTTGTGGTTATTTTTTTTTTTAAATCAGAATGTATCTGTTGACTTTTTAACAAACTCTACCAAATATATTGTATACAGACAACATTTGGCTTTGGATTATGTGCAATCATTACTGAAATCTAAGGAAATGCAGAATGGAAATCCAAATGCAGAATTTGTCTTATTTGAAAAGCTATAGAAACACACTTAGAAAAAGATATATCACTTGAACCAAGTCCTTTTATCCCAGAAGACAGCATTTTACTATCTTTATTTGATTGCACAGTTCTGTTGATTTATGGCACTAGACTAGGAATTAGGTTAGCAACCAGAAAAGACTACTATCAGTCTGTCGGAAAAAAAGGAGCCTGAAGTAAGAAATGCTTTCTGAAAGAAACAGCTGAGCTTTGCTGATTTGATTGAAGTGTTACCTATTAACTGAAAGCCAATTTGGGTATCTCCACACTGATACAATCATTATTGTCACAGGCATGAAGACATATTTTATAAGCAAACTATCTAAACTCTATGACTTTTTAATTTGAAATTAGAGTGTTAAATAATGCAGTTTGAGTCTCTACTGGCACTTTACTCTTATAGCTCTTTATAATAATTGAAATATTTATGTATTATGCTCATTCATTAATTTCACAGATATAAACCATATTTATATTTTTACTACTATAGAAGAATAAGTATAGTAGATTATTTTGATTGCATGTCAAAAATTATGAGCCTTTCTATTATAATCTTTTGCAAAAGCTGCAGAGCCCACTAAAAGGCCAAATTTACCATTGTTCATGTTGGAATAAAGACAGTTTCAGACAGCATATAATTTCCTAATTTTTTAAACACTACATAAATTTTTATCTACTTCAGCTTTTAAAAATGTTTAAACCCATTAAACTTTAACAAATATGCCATTTTTGTAGTTCAGTGTTGTGTTAGGAGAACCTCCCCGTCGGGAAGTTGAACCTGGTCTCCCGTGACAGGCAGGGATACTCACTCACCACTGTACTAACAAGGACAGACACCACCATGTGCTGGTTCCACCAGGGCTCTGCTGTGGGGCCACCACGTGATGGCCACCGGGCTATGCTGTGCCCACGCGGCCGCCAAGCCATGGGGGTCCTCAGACCGGCGGGAGGGCGGGCGGGGCAGCCCTGTATGGAGCATCGCAGGAGAGCAGTGCGAGGGAAGATCTGTGGTAACACAGTGGGGGGAGGATAAGGGTGGATAGTGGGTTCTTCTGGGGGGCTGGGGGGTTTTGGCTGGGCTGGGGCCATGGGAGATACCCGAGCCCCGGGTGGGTGCGGGGGCCGGAATGGTTTGGTTTTGGCTCACCTGCGGCTACTGCCCAGGTTCGGTTTGTTTTGGATTTATTTATTGTGTCCCGAAAGGGTGGTCAGGACAAAGGGATGTTCCTGGGTATTTCCCTGCGTTTGAGTATAGATGGGTGGCAGAAAAGTAGGGAGTGAATGGCTTGCCCTAACCATTTTGAGTGGGAAAGAAGCCTGTGTACCCCTATGCAGTTGCAAGCTGTGCTGGTGATGGTACATGCCTTCGGTAGGGTCTCCCATGCCAGACAGGTCTGAACACTAACAGGCCTTAGTGGCCCTGACCAGCCTCACCCCCAGATGCCTGCCCATAAATCCAAGGGCTCTAATTAAGCTCAGTCTGGGTGTTTTGGGGCTTGCCTGTGCCTCTTGGACCTGACTTCCTGGCCTGATTTCTGCCTGACCCCATCACCAAGGACCTGCCCAGTAAGCACAGGACTCTAACCCTCAGTAGGTTGGGTTATGACCTGTGGATTGACTTTCCAGCATGACTGTTGACCTGCCTCAGCAGTTGAACCTGGTTGCCATTTCCATGCCTGCCCCGCTCCCAGCCAGCCCTCATTGCTCCCTGACATATTCAGCCTGGACTCAGAACTGGAGTACTTGCTGTAGACATGCCGTGGCTTCTCCATTTATAACTATTTCTTCTCTTCATATTGTTTTATGGAAATACTGTGCTTAAAAAGCTTCAAAATTACATTTTAGTTATTATAATCTACAAATAACAGATGAGGTGCATGAAGTGAACTAAGATGTTTGCTGGACAGTTAGTCCATAAAGCAATTTTTTTCCTGCATTTACAATGATGCAAAACAATACCATCACTTCACAGGTCTCCATACCTAATAAGAGTAGCATCTGCAAATATACATTTCCATGTTGAAAAGTATGCTTAAAATCTGTAGCAATGTAAAATGAGGGATAAATCTTGTCCTCACTTTATTGCATACTGTAAGAAGTTGCAAGGGCCTTGCAAACAGAACCTCAGCAGCTTTCAAAATGTACTGATAACTATACAGCTGGTGACTGGAAATAACAACTGCAGCCCTGCAAAGAAGGCACTGTTATACATGGATTTGGATGAACTCTTCTCCAAGCAGTGGGACCCTGGCAATGGCACTGCAAAAGCCTGGGAAGAATTTGCCTATCCATGAGACTGTAAGTGTATAACCATAAGCACTATTTGAGTTTGCATACAGACCTAAGCACTGCTATCCTATCCTCAAATAAATGACATAAAATTCACAGGCAGTACAGGCAGTCAGCCACTGACACATCAACAGCTGTTCAAATCCCCCACAGTAGTGTTACTCCACTTCGAAGAAAAGTATCTTTAAGTAAGAATTGCTCCCAGAGTTCACTGTTATTCCAGTCTCTGACTGTACCTGTACTGCATTTGTACCTGCTTTTAATAAGAAGTCAAATATTCTGGGACACATTCACATAGAGGTGTGGCTTTTGACTTCTTCCTTTGCAAGCCTACTCCAGTCATCGGGGAGTCTTGTGTACTCTGAACCTCTTTCTGATTTTCAATTGCTACTCAGTACTAACTGTAGGAAGCTCTATCAAGGAATCTACACACGGTTTGAGATCTCCACAGCGACCCCCAGGTCTTCTTACTAAGTGAAGAGGTGACTACAATCCTGTGAGAGTTCAGACATTTTTTCCCATTTCTTTCACATTATTTTGTACTTACTAACATTATGCTTTCCAAGCTACTCAGTGACATGTGCTCCATTCACTAATTAACATTTCCTTCTTATTCCAAAACTCCTTTCTCCATTTCTTCTAAGGACATTTTATTCCTATATTTGTATTCCCTGAATCTCTGCTCTAGCAAATGAAATCTTTATATCTCTGGGTATGTTTTCTCTGGTTTATAACCCTAGTAACTAATATCTCATTTTTGGGAGGGTAACTCAGTTTAGTATGAGGAAGACAATTTCTCCTAAAAGGAGAATTTCTCCTTAAAGGACTAATTCACTCTGAAGTGAAATCAGCTCTTGTGGAATGTAATAACTGGAAAAAAAGACATTTTGTACATCAGTCCAATATGTACAAATTAAAATTATATTACAAACCACATGTATAGTTTTATTATGTTATCGACATGTTTATATGATAGTTATTTGTATTACACTTAGTCTTCCTTTGCCTATCTCTAAACATTTAAAACATCCCTAATCAAATTACTAATAATATTATTTAACATTTAGGACTGTAATAATAAAAAATATTTTGGGGGTTTGCTCTAACATTTTGAATTTTCAATTAAAAATATTTTTGTTTCTTTAGAGTCAGTCTGTATGTAAAAGATAGAAAATCCATCCCACCAGCTGCATCCAACAATTTTTAGTTACTTTATAATTTAAGGTCTGACTCATTTTGAGAGAAGACAGCTCTATGTAAAACACTAGGACAAGCAGAAACTTCAATCTGTTTTCTTTATAAATTTGTTTATTCAGAAAGAAGCTTTGAAATAAAAGGCTTTGAAAGGCTGGCAGGCTTGCTGAACAATGAGTTGTTATATTTTGAAGGCATATTATCTTTAAAAATACAAGAAAACCTGAAGTGTTTCTAATGAGAGAACTCGTATTTTTGAAAGGAAATAAATGGAAGAGTTTGAGAGGATATTTTTGTTGTGTTTTTTTTTCTTCCTCCTGGGGCTGCCTGTTGCTCTTATGGGGAAGTTTCCTGCTGATTTGACTTTCTATTCTGCTGTGAGACTGATGCCAAGATTTACATGATTGCTGTGGATAGAAACTGGATTTAGCATAAGGAAGATAACTGCTTTTCCCCTAGGGAGAGACAGAAAAGGGAAAGACAGAGTGGGGCACATAGACAATATTATTTGAAGCTGTATTCTTGGTCAATTACTTTATTCAGCCTCTATTTTAGGTTATGCTGCAACTAATAAAAAGCAAGAAAGCTACTGGTCTCAAGCCAGGAACAAGATAAAGATGGAAACTCTTTGTAGTTTAATGCAAATGTCCAACTATAATGGAAGCAATGTACTGGTTTTATATAGAACTGTCATAGCACATCTTGTAACATAAACATAATTAGCAAAAACTCTCATCAGAATTTGCTGGGTGGTGATTTGCCTGATATGCAGAGTCCTTCAGCAGAGAGAAAAGAGTGAGTGCAGAACGGTGCATCATTACAGTTATTTTAGCAATTCATTGTCTGTACAGTCTTTTGCACATTCTTTAATTTTGAATTACATGTTCTGAACATTTAAACAGGGGTTAAGAGTTTTGTTGATAAAGCAGGTTTGTGCAACTTGAAATCATTTCCAGCCAGTTGGCAGACTGTTATCTTCTGTCAACCTACAGTACCTATGGAAAATGCAATCTTTTGAGATACTGAGAAAAGTTTGCATCACAATGCAGGAAACTTCACAAGCAAAGCAAGACTCCACAGTAAGCACACAAGAAATACTGTGGGCAGAAGGCAGTTTGAGGGAGTTTGGCACTGAGAGGGTATAGGTTTTCAAATGTAATTATTAACAGATCATTTAACCAAATTTTAGTAATTTTTCTAATTAAATAATATGCACTAAATAAATTAAATACCATAATGAGTCAGTAATTAAACAAACGAGAAATAAATATTATCTACTTGATCTAAAAGTTTAAATTCAGAAACTGGAAGATAGTATCATATTACTGAGGTAAATATTCTGGAGTTCCTGAACTAGATGTACATAATAGAAAGATGGGTAAGAATTAATTTTGTTCCCTTTTTGTTCAGTTAGTTATATGAACAACAATTTATTCTGACATTAAAATCAGGTTATCTAACTACAATGACTAATTTTATGGTTTTGCATTTTGTTGATTACAAAGTTATGATTATCTTGTGAAATTCAATTATTAAGAATAACTGATCCTTTAAGCTAAGCCTGTTGTAGGGCTGGTTTTGCTGTTAGAAAATAGCATACTTGAGATACTCAGTTACCACCTGCAAAATCTTCAGAGACCATTCAATTAAAAAAGGTGTCATCTTAGGGCCACTGATAATAGTTGCTTGGTGTTTTTGCATATACTAAAGATTATCTTTAGTATCAGTGTTTCTTGCATAGAAATTTTAGCAAAGCCTTGAATTTGGGGTATATGGACAAGCTTCCTGCAGTTTAGAAGTTTATTTGAGCACCCAAAGTCTTAGTGAACCCACCATTTTACTGAGACTCCCCTGAACACAGAATTATTTTGGAGATAAACCTAATAACCTGATACACAGCTACAAAATTACCATGAGGGTTATGGTATAGACTCATTAGCATTTATCTACTTTCCAGAACCATTTATTTTCTTTTCAAAACATGGTAAATTGAGACTTGATTTGGGGTTTTACATTTTGCCCCCTCTGCTTTTAGAGTGGAGTGTTGACGTAGAGTTTTTTTGTTTCAAAACCTCTTATTTTTTTTACTATCTTCTGCTATGTCACATTCTACTTTAATTCCTCTTGCATGGGGAAGAGAGCACTAGAGAACAAGAAGTGTCTTATTTCTCCCCTCTCTATTTTTCACAGTTGGCTAATTAGATTTCTAACAATGAAATTCAGGGCAAGGTGCCTTACCAGAA